TTGCTATTCTACATTTGTGAAATGGCTACCAGGAAATCTCACCGGCTCAGGGTTGACTCAGCCTTCCGTCCTTCCGAGGTGGGTAAAATGAGGACCCGGATTGTTGTTGGGGGCGATATGCTGACTCTGTAAACCGCTTAGAGAGGGCTGAAAGCCCTAGGAAGCGGTACATAAGTCTAACTGCTATTGCTATAGCTCAGGGTTGCTCAAGCTTTCTTCTTCCTGACATGCTGGCTTTCTTTTTTTCTTTTGCAATTTTTTTTATTTTTAAACATAAAAAACATTTTAAAAAATTCTCATCCATTACATACATTACATGTCATGCTGGCTTTCTACTTTTGGGGGTGGGGGATGGGAAGGGATTGGATTGAATCCACTGACTGGAGATGAATTTTCAGTGGAATTTCATTCCCTTCCCTTGACCTTCTTCGCTGCGCTATCAGCCTGGGAACTGAGATAGGACGGAAAACATGGAAGGCATCCAGAACATGGTTTGTTTGCTCTCTCTCTTTTCCCTTTGGGAGGAAGCTTCAGGCAAGGAGGAGGGGGAAGAAGGAGAAGCAAGAAAGACTACTCAAGGTCAACCAGCTGAGGAATTGACCAGCCTTCATCCAACTCAAGCTCTCCTGGCCCTGGGAAATAGCTCCGTTCAACTGAGGAGGGACTTCTCTTTGGCTGGATGTCCACAAAGGAGAAGAAGAAGGTTTTCCTCGTAGGACCATTCGTGGTCCAGCTGGTGGCCCATAAAAATTGTTCCTTGGACAGCAGAGATCTCCTCAATCATTTTGTCCAACTCTGTTTAATCACAACGGATCTCCAGGTGGGTTGCAATCAGTGGTGGGTTCCAGATCCTGGTACAACCAATATGGTGCAACGGAATCCCGGCGTCCACCACATCAATGCGCACAGCATGTGTATGCAACCTTACCTCCTGCGACACCTCCGCGACTCTCCAGCTGCTCGGCTGCAGGCACCGTACGCTCCGTGCACGGAAGCGCCGAAGAGCTCAAATACAAGTAAGGAGGGCAGGCAGGCAGCCGAGTCCTCCGGAGTATCGTACCGGAAGGATACTCGGTGCTCCCAGCAGGCCCCGGTACACCCGTACCGGGGCCTACCGCCTACAACCCACCACTGGTTACAATGAACGAAACCAAGAGAGACAAAGTAATAGCAATAGCAGTAGACTTATATACCGCTTCATAGGCCTTTCAGGCCTCTCTAAGCNAAGGATCATTTTGCCTTGGACTCTGATTTAATTCTACATGATACTTGGAACGCTGACACTGTTCTTGGGCCATTTTCCACGCATTGGAGGGGCATTTTCCAAGCCGTTTCCAGGCTGTTTCTTGGGCCATTTTCAGGACATTTTGGGGGCATATTTGGGGTGTTTTCCAAGACATTTTCAGGCTGTTCTTGGGCCATTTTCAGATCATTTGTGAGCCGTTTTTCAGGCTGTTTTGGGAGCTGTTTTCAGGACATTTTTCAGGCCAGTTTTTAAGCCAGGCCTGAAAAAGCAGCCTGGAAACAGCCCTCCCCAAATAGCCTGAAAAGGCCCCCCCAAACTAGCAAAGAATGGCAAACCAAAAAGGCATGCACCCATCAGCCAGCTGGTTTTCAGGTTTCTGGCACTCTGGCATGGGCAGATGGCCACACATGCATGCACATTGCAGTTTGCGCACTCCGTGCCGAAAAGGTTTGTCCTCCCTGTTCTAGAACTTCTGGGTGTCTCCTGTGGCCCTCCACTATCTTCAGCAGCTTCTCGGTCGTGAGCTGATCCGGGCCTTCCAAATCCGCCATGCAAAACTCACCCCGGTGCCTCTTGTAGACTCACCTGCAGCAGCTGAGAATTGGGCATGGCTAACAGGCTGGCCACGCTGCAGAGCTTGGCGAAGAACTGGTCTGCTAGAGGCCCCAGGCCCACGCTCTGGGCCCACTCCAGAAGGAGACGCACGGCGGCCCTTATCCTGACCCCTTTTGACCAGTGGAAACAGCCCAGAGAGGAACCTGGACACGAGAGAGCAAGGACAGGAGTGGATCATCCGCATCTGGCTGGCGTATTTCTAGAGTCCTTCCATCTTTGCAGGAGGGAAAAGAGATCTTTCATTGCAGGGGAGAGACAGGTAGCGCCTGATAGTTTTGTGAGTCCCCCACGCCAGGATAAACCAACTGTCCCCGCCTTGGGGGAAAGCCGCTCACCTTTTTCCATGAGCTGGTTGAAGAGGAGGGTGTTGGAGAAGAAGAAGAGGTAGGCGAACATCTGGGAGGTGACTTCAGGGTGGACGTCATACTGATGGAGAAGATCTAGGGCGGCTTGGTAAATCGACACCACTTTGTGGATTTCCTCGGGCAACGGGGGCGAAGAGAGCCAACCGTCGCGGCCTTCACTTTGGAAGGGGTTGCACTCCAACAACGGGGGCAGAGCCACATAGAGAGACTGCGAAAGAAGGACAGAGAGAAGAAGGAGGAGAAGGAGAAAGAGAAAGAGAAGGAGGAGGAGGAGGAGAAGGAGGAGGAGGAGGAGGAGGAGGAG